TGTCAGTTCAAAGCGTTTGTGCCAGTCTTTGTGGCATCTACTTGATCGTAACTTGTAAAATTGACAGTTCTAAACTCAATTTCAACCCTTTCTAACAATGGTACCTTGTAAAATTTAGAAAGTAAAAGTAATTACTTAGTCTTCTCTGTCATTAGTGTCTGTGTTTAGATATGCATCTATTCCATTAACATTTTAGACAGAGCGTTCCATCCCCCTTGCTTCATTGCTTATCTTGGTTTGTTTATGTAATACATTCCTCAGCTCAAGCAAGTGGCTAGTTACAGAAAGTAAGAAGAAATCAAGGAAATTATGTGTTTTTGTTGTCCTGAAGATAGCAAAATGGAGTCTGCTTTGTTCTGAGTGACTTGGCAATATACACTTTTAATTTCTTTTTAGCACAAAATGTTTGTTGATATAAATATTCTGACAACCCCTGTCTCGTCCCATTCCGGAAGGTTTCGTAAGCGCTCCATTTACCCTGACTTGGGCGTTCGGCCGGCTATATATTGCGGCGATCCAGGTAAGCAGATTGGTTTCGAACTCCATCCCCTTGAGCAGCTCCGACAGGTATGTCCAGTCCACCCTGTCGAAGGCTTTTTCTGCATCGGTGGATAGGAGTAGCAGTCGATCCCCAGCGCGTTTGGCGACTTGCTGGATAGAGAGGGCCCGTAGTGTACTATCGCGGGCTTCTCTGCCTGGAATAAAGCCCGTCTGATCGGGGTGCACCAGTCCAGGAAGGAACGAGTTGAGGCGGCTCGAAAGGACCTTGGTGAATAATTTTAGGTCAACGTTTAAAAGGGAGATGGGTCTGTAGCTACTGCACAGCTCTGGGTCCTTCCCTGGTTTGGGGATGATGGTTATGACTGCTGCTAGAGTGTCATCGTGGAACTTGTTGCCCCTCGTGATTGCGTTCATGGCTTCGGTTAATTTTGGGATGAGCGAATCCCCGAACTTCTTATAATATGCGAGTGTGAACCAGTCGGGTCCCGGAGCCTTGCCTGCCTTTGTTGTTTTGATTGCTGCCTTAATTTCCTCTTCCGTGATTGGGGCGTCCATGAGCTCCGCTTCTTCTTGCGTTACGTGTTTGGCAAGGTGCCGTGACAGGTATTGTTGGACCTCCCTTTTCCTGGTGTGTGTTGAGATTGGAGAGGGCTGCAGGTGCAGGTTGTACAGTTGGGCATAGTATGTTCGGAACTCATTCGCTATCGTTTTGGGGTGCTGAGTCGTTGTACCACCGGGTAGTTTTAGCTTGTGTACTTGCGCCTGCGCTTGGTGTCCCCTGAGCATGCGGGCCAGAAACCTGCCCCCTTTGTTCGCATGTATATAATAGAAGGCTTTTGATCTCTGTAGTTGCCGGTAGTGTTTCTTGACCAGCAATGCCTGCAGCTAGATTCGGAGCTCCAGCAATTTGGCGTATGTTTCGTCCCGGGTGTTCGTTTGTGACGTGCTTCTATGTCCTCGATTCCCTTGAGGAGTTCCGCTATTTGTCGCTGGGCATCTTTTTTCTTTTTCGTGGCCATTTGTATTATGTGACCTCTCATGACACATTTGTGGGCCTCCCACGTAGTGGTGGCCGAGGTGTCGCCGGTCTCATTGTTCGAGAAGTATTCCACCAAGGCTTCTGCGATTTTGTCCCTGATTTCAACATCTTCCAGGAGGGTGTCGTTTAAGCACCAAGTCATCACCCTCAGTCTCGTCAGTGGGGAATCTACTTCCACCGTTACCGCCCCATGGTCGGACCATGTGGCTGCTTCGATGGTCGCCTTTTGCAGTGCGGTGAGTTGTTTTTGCTGGAGGAATACATAATCGATTCGTGAGTATCTCACATGGACCCTCGAGTAGTGTGTGTAGTCCTTCCCCGTGGGATGTAAGGCTCTCCAACAATCCACCAGTCGTAATTGCCTGAGGGCCTTTAAGATGCTTCGAAGTTCTCTCTGTGGGTTGCTACTGCGCCCTGTGGAGGTGTCTAGTGTGGAGTCTAGGGGGACATTGAAGTCACCTCCAAGTACCAGGGTGCCTTCCGTGAAGTCAGCTAGAGCAATCATTGTTCTGCGGATATATTGTGATTGTTTCCGGTTGGGGGCGTATATGCACGCTAGGGTGTACGTTCGGTTTGCCATCGTGCCTTTCAGAAAGATGTGACACCCTTCCAGGTCCAATAGTTTGCCAGTTTCTGTGACGCCCAATCGCGCGGCGATCAGTATTGCCACTCCCGCCTTCTTGGCTGAGTGGTGGTTGCTGAGATATGTGTGTGAATATGCCCTGTCCCTTAGGGTCGGGGCGTTGCCTTCCCGAAAGTGGGTTTCCTGAAGGAATGCTATCGAAATTCACTGTCGTCGAAGTTCCCGAAAGAGGTGTGTTCTCCGCTCTGGGATGTTCAGTCCCCTGCAATTGTGGGGGAGTATGCGGAGTGGACAGGAGCGATACCCGTCTCTGCAGGGCGGGGGGCCCGCAGGGGACAGCAGCAGGCAGGGGGGGGCACCCAGGGCCCCCCGCGTCTCCCCCCGGCCCAGTGTGGTGCATAGTCAACCGTAGGTGTGGAATACTATCTAGTTGTGTCGGTGTGTTAGGCTTGGCTAAGTTGTCGACCTTGTTCTGACCAGGTAATCTGTGTGACCGCGGATGCAGATGGCGGGGTGGTCGGTCCGGGGGTGTCCCGAATCAATGCCCGTCAGCTCACCGCCGTACCTATTGTTCACACAGGTGATGTGGGGTACGTGGCTGTCGCCGGACACGTGGCAGATAGAAGTAGTACGAAGTGTGTTTGATATGTCATCCCCTAGTGGATATATGTATCCGTGGGTACTATGAGTGGTGTCTACAAAGAGGTTCCACCACCACGTGAAGTTGTGTATATATTTCAGCCTGCTTTCCGATGTGAGCTGGGTAGGTTTATGGGTTCCTTGTTATTGTCTCATTGTCTGTGCCTTGGCGCCCCTCGTCCTCTCCCAGGGTCCCTGGGCTAGATATGTTACGGTCTTGCCCTCCTCTCCTGCTCTATTTTGTGTGCTGTGTGTGTTTCCCGCCCCTAGTCCCGAGTCCCTGCCATTGTTGTGTCTGTCCATTGTCCGGTGATCCATTGGGGGGGTAGTGATTTCAGGTTGCATCCGCTGAGGGCGACTCCTAGGGCCTTGGTGTGCTCTTTGTCTGTGTATGTATAGCGAATTGACGGTCTTACGTGCTCCTATGGTGGCTCTGGGGAGTACATGCCTTTATGGGGCCTGTCCCTGGTTGAGTCGTACTGTTGGAGTTCTCAAGTGCTGCTATAGGACCTAGCGCTAATGGTCCCCGTGGTGTCGAGATGGTCGTGGTGTGCGGGTTGTCATGCAGGGGTGTTGCATTTCCGGGCTATTGGTTCTAACTTGCAGTGGTGTCTTGAGTGTGTGGTGTTTCTGGGGTTCCGTTTGTGAGTGCGTCTATCGCCCGCCCAGTCTCCTCTCATGGGAGCCGGTATACCATGTGTTATCAGTTAGGTCTGGCCCCTGTCAGAGTATTCCGTCAGAGACCTTTCGAAGCAGTGGTGCAGTAGAGAGTCATATCCCTGTAGCTAGTGATTAAAAGCAGATTAATCGGGGTAGATCTTGCTCCCGATAGCAAAGTACAGGGAAGCCATTCGGTGCGTTTGGGTATAACTTGTTGTGGAATGACCCTTGGCTTCCCCTTGCCTTCTTGCCCCTGGGGACCAGGGTCCCCTTTTTCCCCCCCATGCCCCTTGTTCCACTCCCCCTGCCCCTCTCCCGGCCCTATTGCTACATTCCTAGTCCTAGTGTGGGAGTGGTGTTACCTGTAGTTATGAGCCCTTACTTTGTTGGTTGGAGGCATGTGGGGGGTCACTTTCCTCTCCCCCGCATGGTCATGTTATAATCGGAAGTTAAGGGGCCCAATTTGGCTTTACAGTTGTGCTGGTGCTGCTAGTAAGGACAGTCTATCTAACTGAGTGTAAGGGTGGAGGATGCGCACCTTCAGCAAACCTCCCGGAGGATTGACAGGTTGCCACTCCTCCATTAGAGTTAAGTGCCACGCCAATCTAGATAGTCCAGTAAGAACTAGAGTCATTGGCATAGCAGTGTTGATGTGGCTGTGCGGAGGTGTCAGCTCTCTAACACGGTGCGTTGTCTCCGCCGGTTCCGCTACAGGTTATGGTCCTTGGTAGCCTGTGTCCACATGAGGCCTAGCAGTAGAGGGGAGCCCCACTCTCCAGTGTTGTGCCTCTGATTCCAGTAGTCCTGGTATGATCTCTCCCCAGGTTCCCCCCTCCCAAACGTGCTCTGCTTCCCTCCCTCCTTGGCGTGTGTGTCCCCTGCTTTTTTTTTTTTTTCCCAATTGGTGTCTCTCTTCCCCCCCGAGTCCCCCCTCCCCAAGTGGGAAGATGATAAGGTGCCCCTACCCCCTGGGTGGTTGCTCGGGCCAGGGTGGGGGTCATGCATCTTACCGAGGTTCAGAGTTCTTCGGGTCAGGATGTCGGCATGGCGTGGCAGGAGGTTGGCGTTCAGGATCGTAGAGTGGCTGTGGTTCCTGGTTGTGTATCAGGGAGGTGTGAGGACTGCTTGGGACCCGTTCCTGAGGCGGTGCAGTGCTATTCTTCGGGCTGGGCCAGGTCTGGTCTCCAGCTGCTCTCCGGCAGTTCCCTGCCCCTCCGGCGCGGTGGTCGCTGCGGTTGTGGCCTGAGCTCCAGGGGTTGAAGGATCCAGTTCTGCACTGGTATATTAGGCAGATCTAATTTTTGCACGAAGGTAGGTATCTCTTCCGGACTTCGGGCTGATACCAGTTCATTGCGGTGTCGGACATTTATGCTAAAAGGGTATCCCCATCTGTAAGGGATGTTCCTGTCCCTCAATGCAGTTGTCACTAGTCGCATGGCACGTCTGGCATCTTGCGTCAATGGAGACAGATCGTTATAAAGAGAGACCTCTGTGCCTCTGTAGGTCCAATGGATGCGAGAGCGGGCCTTCAGCATTATTTGTTCCTTCAGCGTGAACGAATGGAGGCAGCTTATTATGTCACGCGGCCTCTGCCGTCCGTGGTCTGAGGTCCCTATGCGCCCTGTCGAATCTGAAGTGGTCTGGGGCCTCCTCACGGAGGATAATGCGGAAAAGTTGGGTAAGAGTTTCCGCCACGTTCTCTCCCGCGCTGTCTGCTTCAGGCATGCCACGCATATTGTTGCGGCGACCCCTGTTGTCCAAGTCTTCCCTTTGTCGCCGCAGGGCCAACAATAGGTCCCCTTGCCGTTTAATTGCGGTATCTGTAGCCATATGCCTTCCCTCTGCATTTTCTATGCGTTGCTCCATGGCAGTAATGCGTGCGTCGTGCCGTGTGATGTCTGCCCTGATTCCCGCCACTTCTGCCTTCAGCGCAGCATGCAGGGTGTCAGAGACCCTGGTGAGGTCTGCTTTTGTGACCATCTGTGCTGACATCCGCCTAGGTTCAGCTCCTATGTCAGCCAGAGTAACGGATTCCTCCCCAGAGCACGTGGATGCCGGGAAGGTCGGCACCATGTTGGACGCGGGGGTTCCCGGTCGGAGACCGGCGGGAGTGCCCAGGTATTCATCCATCGGGCCCGTTTGTGCGTGTGGCTGCTTGCTCCTGGGGGTCTGTGGAGTGCCTTACCGCTTTGTCCGTCCCATTAATGCGGTGGGTAAGGGCTGTCGGGTGCTGTATGCCGCTGGGTGGTATGGAGCCGCGGGGTTATGCTGCCGCCATGTTCGGGATCCAGGACACGCCGGGTTCTCCTAGTTTTGTCTTGTTTTCATGTTTGGTGCCTATCTCTAGTCTTGCCTTGTTTCAGTACTGGATACACTCCTGCTGCAGAGCCTCCCTATTCGGCTCCTGGGAGGTCTGCTTAATTCCAAGCTCCTAGTTCCTCGAATCCGCTGAAGCTGCATCAGGGTTCTGGTATGTGGCTGCACAAACGCTGGTGCTCAACACCAGGGGGCATGCGGTTACCCTGCACCAGACCCTGCTAATCCACCTCCACACTGTGACTCCTACTTCTCATCAGGCATACTGGGTCCCGGTCCACACACCGCCGCCCGGACAGTGTCTGGGTCCGGGCACGGGACCGCCACCCTGACACAGAGGAAGCCTGTGGAGGCGGGCGAAACGCGTCACACACACTTCACAAGAGAGGCAGACCCGGAAGTGATCACATGATCGGGAAGGACGAAACCAGTTAGTGACTTTCTGTTTGCTGTTTTACATGCTTTTATGTGGGTAGCAATGTCAGCATAACCCACCACTCGCAAAGTAAGAGTTTTTAACTGTTGTTTTATAATAAACTGTATTCAATTGGAGGTCCTGCCTCTCTCTGTCCTATATTGCACAGTACTACCAGTTTCCAGTGAGCACACCACTTCTATCAGTGTGGGAATCTGCCCTCTCAATTGGAGCACTGCAAACCCAGAGCCAGGGGTGATAGGGCTCTGGTAAATGTGAGTTTTTTTCCCCTCATACCCCCCTGTACATATTTGGTCTAGATAGTCTGCACTATTTTCTGTTTTTCTATATTTACAGATCAGTTTAGCTCGCTTTTTTTGGTAGCTATTTGTCTGTATTCTGTGTATACTTCTGTATCACTGGGATTGAGTGCTGCCATACTGTATGTGTTATATCCTATAGCGCTGACACACAGTTTTTTTTGACATTCTTTATTTAAGTTTTTCAATATTCAATCACAGCATGTATATCCAATATAAATTAACATGTGGTAACATATAAACTGGTCAGTTATGTGTAATACAGCATCAAGATAGTTTCATCTACTAGATAATAAATTGTATTTGAGTATTTGGCTTCATTATAACAGTGAGCGTTCTTTTGTGTTGTGTTCTGTCGTTAGCCCTGTATGGGGTTAATCCCCTCTGTGGTCGGGTGCGAATGGAGTTTGTGGTTGCTCCTCAAGATTCGTGTGAGTTTTCGGGTGGGTTGTTTCAACCGCTCTGTGTTGTGCTCGTGGGTCAGAGGGTGAGTTGTACAACCCTGCATTGGTATCTGAGCTTCCTCATTTGTAGGTAGGACCCTAATAGATAGGTTGGCTCAGTGCAAGGTTTCCCCTCACTTACTTATTGGGTCTAGTGTGACCTATGGTACTTAAGAGGTGTGGTAGTCTCCGTCTATGTGTGGTGCAGTTCATCTTTGTCCCCAGCCTCGTACATGGTGCTTTGTTCGTGTTTCTAGTGCCAGGTTGATGGCTATAGAGCTTTGTCCCAATCCGTGTTATGTCTGTCTACGTGTGTCCTTCTTTGGGGGGGTACCGTCTGGGGCTTTGTATGGGGGTCCAGTCTGGTTCGTGTTTGATTTGTGTGTTGGTTTAGGTCGTAATGAGCCTGGTGTGGATGGGCTCAGCCTTAAATCATGAGGGGGCCAATTATTTTGCCCCTGTGACCGTGTAGTTACCCCCTAGTTTCCCTGAGTCGATCTGTTTTAGGTTTTCCCTGGGGGTAGTTGACCTGGGTTGTCCGTAGGCGCAGCTAGTATATGTAGGGTTATCCTGTGATGTCTTGTTCTGTCGTTGTGCGGGGTCTGTGTCAGATGCCGTGTCGTCACCTCAGGCCCCTGGTTTGAGTCGCTCGTGTGGTGGGTGTGATCATATCATCCCTGGGGCATGTAGCACGGTCCCCGTGACTCTTCTGGATACCTAATTCTAGGTTGTTATCTCTTATCTTGGGTCTCGCTGGGTTCGCTGTGTGTGTGGGGTTATGTATGCCACCTGCCGCAGCCCCAGTTGTTAGTTGGCGTGGTCAGGGCCGGGTGCTACTGGCTCCGGTCATGGCTTCTTGTGTCTGGGGTGGGGGTGAGTCCATGTTCCTTGCGTCCCGGTCTCTCTCTTCCCTCCGTCCCCTAGTGTATTGGTCCATATGTCGCTCTAGCGGGTCACTCCTCCCCTCCCGTGACCCATGGTCCTCCGTCTCTGTCTCTGCTTACTCATAGATTCCGCTTTGTGCGGAGCCTTAAGTCGGTCTGCGTGCCCCCGGGGGTTGTGTCCCTCCGGGTCTTTTGTGTGTCTATGTGTCATGTGGTTGGAGGGGTGGGGGGTCGCGTAGGAAGTGTGTCTCCGTCGTGCTGAGGGTGCAATCTACTCGTCTGGCACTGCCTGTGTCTGTGCAGAGCTCTGTTGGGTGGGTTGTGTTGGTGCGGGGGCGCCGTCCCTCTCCACCGGGTCTCGTCCTCCCGTCCGTTTTGATGTGTAGTCCATCCATGGGTACCACGCCAAAGCGCATTTTTCCTGGCGTCCCTGCAGGGAGGCTGTCATCATCTCCATGTTATATATCATCTCCACCCTATCTACCCATTGTTGCAGGGTTGGAATTGTCGAGCTTTTCCAATGGAGTGGGATGAGCGACTTCGCTGCCGTGAGTAGGTGTATGAGGATTCCTCTCTTGTAGATCTTCACCGGCGTACGCGTGTGGTTGAGAAGCAGTGGCATGGGTTGGAATGGGACGTCTGAGCCCGTGATGTCTTTGGTCGTCTGATGTATCATCCTCCAGAACGGTTCGATACGTGGGCATGTCCACCAGATGTGAATGCTGGTTCCTATTCCTGTGCCGCATCTCCAACATTCGTTTGAAATTGACTCATGCACGTGCTGCAGGATATCTGGCGTCCGGTACCATCCTGTTAGAATTTTGTAGTTGCATTCTTGGAACTTGGAGCTGATGGTCCCCCTTTGTGTTAGTTGAAAGATTTTAAGCCATTCCTTTTCCGTAAGTTCCATCCCGGTCTCTCTTTCCCATCGCGATGTGAAGCCTAGGGGGCTCTTATCACCGTCGCTTAGCAGCGCGGTATAGAGGCGTGAGACTCCATGTGAGAGGTGTTGTCTGGCCGTGCATAGATGTTCCATCATCAGCAATGGGCGGTGAAGGTGGCCTTTACCCGCAATGCCGTCGAGGTATGTTTTCACTTGGTGATATCGGAATGTGTCTAGGCCACTGGGCCTACGGTCCTGCATCAGCGTTGCCAGGGGTTTGAGCGTCGTCCCGGAATTCCATTGGCTAGCGTATACCCAGTCCGTTGCTCCGAGATTTTTCAGGTCTGCCGTGCTTAGCCCTCCCGCTAACCTCGGATTGTGTGTTATTGGTGTGAGTGGGTTGGGCGATGACGTGAGGTTTTTGGAGTAACGTATCCTACACCACACCTTCAGCGTGGCGTCGATCATTGGGTTCCCGGTAAGTAGTTCCTTGGGTAGTGCGTCTCCCAGCCATAGCATAGCGGGGATTCGTCCCTGGGCTTGGTGTTTCTCCAGGTCTACCCATTGCTTTGTACTGGGGTTTGCATGCCAATCAACCAGTCTGTGCAGATGGGTAGCGTGGTAATACGTGAGGATGGACGGCAATCCCATACCTCCTTCTCCTCTAGGGCGTTCAAGAATCGCTCTTCGGATACGCGCTGGTTTTTGGTTCCAGACGAAGTTCCTGACTGCGGTCGTCAGGGTCTGAAAAAATGCCCTCGGGAGGTACGTTGGTAGTGTCTGGAACAGGTATAATAATCTGGGCATAATGTTCATCTTTACTCCACTGATGCGCCCAAACCACGAGATGTACAGAGGTGTCCAGCGTTTCATGTCTTGCTGTAGGGTGGTGAGCAGGGGCGCAAAGTTCAGTCGGTAGATAAGTGTCAAATCTCTCGGGAGCCACACCCCAAGGTAGTGTAGCTTGGCTGTGGAGATCTTGAAGGGGAATTGTGCTTGGATGTGTCGTTGGAGGATGTTGTCCTGTGCGAGCAGCAATATCTCTGACTTATCTAGATTAAGCGTCAAGCCGGATACCTCCTTGTATTGTCGAAACGCCTCCAGGAGATGTGGGAGGGAGGTTCTGGGTTGCTCCAGGAAGAAGAGCATGTCGTCAGCGTAAGCCGCTACCCGGTGTTCTCTTCCTCCTATGCTGCACCCCGTGATACCCCTGTCCTGTCTGACCGCCTCCAAGAAGGGCTCCAGGGTGAGGGCAAACAGGAGTGGGGACAGGGGGCAGCCCTGTCTCGTGCCGTTATGTATATCAAACGAGTCAGTCAGTGCTCCGTTTATTCTTATGCGGGCTGTGGGCGAGGTGTATAGAGCCGTTATCCAGGTCCGCAGGTGTGGACCGTATCCCAAATGTCGTAGGGTTTCCGACATATAGACCCAGTCCACCCTGTCAAACGCTTTTTCAGCGTCAGTGGATAGTAGGACCATTTCCTTTTTGCCCGTTTTAGCGGTATGGATGGTGTTGAGGGCTCGAATAGTGTTATCTCTGGCTTCTCTTCCGGGGATAAACCCCACTTGGTCCGGGTGCACCAGATCCGGAAGCGTCCGGGCCATCCTGAGTGCCAGTGCCTTAGCGAAGAGTTTGATGTCCGCGTTTATCAGAGAGATGGGCCTGTAGCTGTCGCAGATTGTTGGGTCTTTACCCTCTTTGGGTATTATTGCCACGGTTGCTCCCAGGGTGTCTCTGTGGAATTGGCCTCCATCTCTGATTGAGTTGATGCCTATCAGAAGTTTGGGCAGCAGGGTGTCTTTGAAGGAGCGTAGGTACGAGACTGGTAGACCGTCTGGGCCCCGGGCCCTGTGTGCTTTAGTTGATTTCAGTGCGCCAGATAGTTCCTCAATCGTCAAGGGCATTTCGAGTTCCGCCTCCTGGTCCGGGGTAAGCTGACGGGTGATGTGGTTCTGAAGGTATGTGGTTATCCGTTCTCGATGGCTACCTATGTCTCTGTCGTGGTGGAGTCGTGGTTGGTTATATAACGCCACGTAGTATTCCCGGAACGCTGACAGTATGCCGTCTGGGAGGCAGGTTGTGTCTCCACTGCTCGTGCGTATCTTGTGAACGTGTTGCGCTTTCCTTCTGTCTTGTAGCATCCTAGCTAGCAACCTACCGCTTTTGTTCGAGTGTTCATAATAATACCTGGAGGCCTTCCTCGCGGTGTGTAGGAGTCCTTGTGATAGTATGGCTTTCAGCTCCCTTCGTGCTTCCGTCAGGCGGAGGTATGTGCTGTCTGCGAGGTCCGTCTTGTGTTCCCCTTCTAGGTCAGCTATCCGGTCTAGCAGTGTTGTGATACGTCGTGTTCGTTCCTTCTTGCGTTTGGTGCCTATGGCGATGAAATGTCCCCGTATGACGCATTTGTGAGCTTCCCATATCGTTAACGGTGGCGTCTCCATATCTTCGTTGGTAGTAAAGTATTCAGTTAAGGTTTGGGCAGTCACCCTCTTACACTCTGCATCGTCCAGTAGGGATTCATTCAGTTTCCAGTGTCTTTCACGGGGTTTATATAGTGGGGAGCTTGTGCGGATCGTCAGTGGTGCATGGTCTGTGTGGTCCATTATGCCTATTCGTGCGTCGTGGAGGAGGTTGAGGTATTCCTGGGCCAGGAATATATAGTCTATGCGACTGTAATTTTTATGGACTGTCGAATAATGGGTGTAGTCTCTACCTTCAGGGTTACATGCCCTCCAACAATCCACCAGGCCGTGTTGATGTATAGCTCGTAGTTCTGCTCGTATGCAGTGCGCCGGGATCGCGGTTTGTCCTCTGGAGGTGTCCGTGCGGGGGTCCAGTGGTAAGTTGAGGTCACCTGCCATGACCAAGAGGCCGTCTCTGAATTTCTCCAATTTGGCTAGCGTCCGAGCCAGGAATGTATGCTGCTTTCTATTCGGGCCGTAGAGGCATGCGAAGGTATACATGTGTTCCATGATTGTACCCTTAATGAAAAGGAATCTGCCGTTCGGGTCCGCCTGCGTTGCTATATGTTGGAACGGCGTTGTCTGTGCAAAGAGTATTGCCACACCAGCCCTTTTAGCGTCTGGGTGGTTCGCGTAGAATCCCTGCGGGTAGCGTCTGTTCTCTAGTTTGGGGGCGTCCAGTCCTCGGAGATGAGTCTCCTGCAGGAACGCCACGGAGGCTCTCACGGCCCATAGGTGCCTTACCAGGTGCGCGCGCTTTTCAGGTGTGTTAAGCCCCTGAACATTATTGGACCAGTATGTCAGTTGGGCCGGGACAAATCCTCGCGAGGCGTCCATCCCGGCGGCAGGGCGGCGTCCCCGCAGCGTTGTCTGTATGATGTAAAGGTGGTGAGTGTGGGGGGGGTCTGTCTGTCTGTGGTGGTGGTGTGAACGGTCTGGCGTGTCTTCTAGGTGTGCGGGTGTGACTCTGACCCTGTACCGGGTGTATTCGTTCTCGAGCCTGGTGGGTAACCTCAGCGACGAGAACGCCGGTGTAATGTACAGTGTGGGTCTGTCTCAGTGGGGGTTCCGTATGGTCACTTACAGTGAAGTCGGTCTCGGATCTGAGTGAGGTTGGTTCTCTCCCTTCTCCATCGGCACCCAACCTGTAAGGGTGTGTGCAATCGCCATGTTTGCCTACTCTAGCCTAGGGGTCCGCAGTATTCGCCCGGGACTTAGAGTGTCGGTCGGGCTGTGGTGTCTTGTACCGCAGTCCCGAGGTCTGGGAGCGGATAAGCCTACCGGTCCTGTCGGCATTATGGTCAGTGGTACCCGTGGGTCCCCCCGTCACGGTCGGCTCTCCTGGCTTCCCGGTCTTAATGGCCGGGTGCTGTCAGGGGATTCGACTGGTTTTGTCTGCCGGACACCCCGGGGCCCTCCGTGTCTGCCCTCCCCCGCCTGGCAACTTACAGTTCGTTGGCTACAAGTCGGCGTGTCTAGGGTGTTAGGGCGCTGTTTGGGGGTAGTCAGTCCTACATGTGTATGGGCGTGGCTCTCCAGCTCCCACGTTTGCGTCCCTTCAGAGGGGCTGGTTTGGGACGTGATCTCTCCCTGCGCCCAGAATTTCCGTCATGATAGTTATCTGCGTGCCTGGGCTTTCGTAGTGGGGTGTACCAACATGGCGTCTTGCTTGTCTCAGTGAGGCAGATTGTGTGTGGTTGTCCCCTCATGTGAGTGGCTGTGATGTGTGTTGGGTGATATAAACGGAACCGTGTATAACTAAACAACATGAACAAGAAGTGCCCAGCTTTGTCCCAGCCCCCCTCCCAGCTCTAGCCCTGTGTGCCCGCATGTCCCGTTGCCCTCGCCCTCCCGCCTCCCCCCCTCAGCTCTGGTCCGTGAGCAGCGGTGTGCTAGAGCAGCCTGTTCAGTTCAGCAGTCTTGACCCAGGGTGTGACCCGGGTGATGGTGTCGGTGTCCAGACCCTTTGTACCCTGCCCATCATCCCCTCCCCACCTACGGGGTATGTCCCCCTTTTTGCCCCGGGTGTGTGGGTTTGCTGATGGGGCCCTAGCTCCCGGCCGCTCCCCGAAAGTGGCTTCAGTTCCCTCCCCACCTGTCTGCGGCCTTCCTCCCTGTCTACTAGCTAATGCAAGCTGGCAGCGGACTTAAAAGTACATACCCCTACCGTGGTGTCATCGGATCTGCATGGCGTCCATAATCATAGCTGGGGTAAGCTCAGGAGGCAATGCCCTGATCTGGCATGGGATGACCCAGGGGGGGCCACTGGTCCGTGCGGCGTGGGGGCCTCTATTCCTCAGGGCCTATTGGGCCGCCTCTGCGTCTTGGTGGTCCAGGCTCCAGGTGAATGTTGTGTGCCACTTCAGATGGGCCTGTGGCTCGCGCCGGGGGTTCCTCCAGGATCCAGTTTGGCACTGAGATAGCAGGTAAGTTGGCGGTTCTTAAAAACCGTGGTACGTCGTTCGGCCAGCGGATGATGTGCCATACGTTTCCCATCCGGGCCTGCAGGCTAAATGGAAATCCCCATTTGTATGGAATTCGTCGCTCCTGAAGTGCTCGGGGGAGAGGCCGCAGGGCCCTGCGGGCATCTAGGGTGATGGTAGATAAGTCCTGGTAAAGGGATATTTGTGCTTCCATGTAAGTGATGTGCTGCTGTGCACGTGCTGCCCGCATTATAGATTCTTTTAGCGGGAATGACAGGAGGGCGCAAATCATGTCTCTTGGCTGCCCGTCTCTTCTGGGGGCGCGGAGTGCCCTGTGGGCCCTTTCGATGCCGAAGTCGCCAGGAGCTGCATCTCCTAGTAGTTGCGCAAATAGGCCATTCAGGATCTCCTGCGGTACCTCGTCCTCGGATTCAGGCAGGCCTCTGACTCTGATGTTGTTACGCCGGCCGCGGTTATCGAGATCCTCAACCTGCCGGCGGAGGTCCAGGAGGATGTTGCCCTGCCTCGTGGTTGCCAGTTCCGCTGCCTGTCTGTGCTGCTGGGATTGTATGCGCTCCTCTTCCAACCTGTCTACTCGCTGCTCCAGCGCCGTGAGGTCGGTGCGCACAGCCGCTATTTCCTCCCTTATTATGGCCCTCAGCTCAGCCACCATTTCACCTTTATCCTTCCGGGTCATCATGCTCGCGGAGATCGCGGCGAGGTCCGCGGATATTTGGGACAGGGTGCCAGGGGTGCTGGATTCCCGCGCCGAGCCCGCTATGCTGGAGCCCGGGGAATCGAGGGCCGGTGTTCCGGTCTCGCCCGTGTCGCGGAGGCCATGCGGCGTGGCCAGGAATTCGTCCATCGGGCCGGCTGGCGGTCGGGAAGGGGCCGGAGTGACCTGGGCTGCGGTAGGTAGCCGTCGATTTTTCCCCCCCATGGAGGTGCGCTTTCTGCGGCGTTGCTGTGCTGGTTAATCGGGGCAAATCAGGTTGGGGCCTAGGAGCTCGGAATGAGTGCGTCCACAGTTTTGTTTTTTTCCAAATAGAGGTTTGCCATGGGGATCTACAGTTACCTGTGTCACTTGAAGCAGCATGCTCAAAATCAATTATAGTAGACTACACCAATAATAGTGTCCTGGGAAGGGTCAGATTCATCGATTCCATAGTCAGAACCAGGATCCGGTGGATCTTCTGAATCGTCCATATAGGACTCCTCCTCAATATCACTGAGATCTGACTCAGAATCTAATTTGGCTTTTGCCCTCTTCCATAATCTAGTCGATTTTGCCCAGTTAGTGGTTCTTTCGCGTGGTGGCAGAATAGTCACACCATCTGTAACAGAAGTAATGCTGTCCATCTTAGACATTGAGGAGTGTTTAGTCTTAGTGAGAGCTTTGCGGCCAGAATGAGGCTGCGCAGCTGTCTTTAAAGGCAATGCCTGAGTAATGGTCGGCTGAGCCGTTCTCTGTGTCTGTTGTAGGGCCTGTGCAAATGTCTGTGACAGGGAGTCAGACATTACCCCCATAGCAGACATCAGGACCTTAGTCATGGCTTTCGACATTGAATTATCAATCAAAGCCTGAATTTCAGCAGGAGCATCAAAGTCACCGGGGAATTTCGCTCCATCTCCAGAGGTACTTAGAAATGTATCAACAGCAACTGGAATGGGTGCAATAGACTGAGGCATCTTTGTCAGGCAGCATTTCAATTAAGAACTGATAATTTTATAGTAAGTGTAAAACCTAAGAAGAAAAAGGGTTGATTAACCCAAATAGAGGATTTAGAGTAAAAGGGAGGAAAATGTACACATAGTAGTTGAATACAATCTAACTTTATTCACAAACACCAGAGCCATCCGCCATTAAAACTTATTCCCAACTCCGAGTCCCGGCCATTGGGGGCAGTACTAGCGACAAAAGCGGGGGGAAATGGAAAATGGCTCTCGCAAACAAAAATGTCACCGAGAACGGCAAACACACGAACAGTGTTGGTAATCACGAACGGAGGTCCAGGGAGCGTTTGCGGCAACAAAACGAAATAGCCGTATGTATAAAGCACCATGTGCGTTTGCGGAAAAAAAACTCCCGAACTCTATAACTGAACAAAACGCAAGTGCGCGCGTTCGAATCCAGTGAGTTGTGGATGGAACAGTAAAAAAGCTCAGGAAAAATGTAGTGCAAGGGCAGACCAGATTCAGATCAGCATGCCATATGTGATTTGAATCTGGTCTGCCAACAGCAGCAAAGGAGGAATGAATATTTGTTTTTAAATCATTATTAATTTAATAAATCCCCTATACAATCACTACACTCCTATATACACACACACTGTACATGGATGACGTGGGGGTGCGCTGTGAAGATTTTTTTTTCGCACATGGCGCCTAAAGCCGGCCCTGCCTCTCATACTATTTATTGTTATCATACCGTTTGAGTGTTATATTTTTCTTTGTTGCTGAGGGAAATAAAGAAAGAGTGCAGCATAATAGCGCCTCTGTTTTCTTCCTGCGCTACATCAACAGAGACTTTGAGGTTTAATCACTAAATTCTAAATGGACCTTTGGTGTTGGGAGTGACTGTCACAGAGTAAGCACATATACCCTGGAATGAATTTATGAAGATATATAGACAGACAGACAAAATTTTATGTATATGAATTTGATACAGAGTTTTATATATATGTATTTGATACAGTCTTCTCCAAGAGAAAATTGGGTGCCTGGAAGACCCATTGAAATTGTCAAATTGTACTTAAAGTTACAGAGAACTCCTGGCACCATAACTATTGCAGTGGGCTGTAGATGGTATAGTGCTTAGTGTGTTCCTTTAAATACTCCATCACAAGTGTCTTTTTTTAGACAACTAACTAAGACTGAAGCGTATTTGCTCAAAGATGTGGGAATGATTGTGTGTTGTGTATGTGTGTGGTGACTGTAATTGTGGTGGCTATGTGTGATTTATATGTGTTGACTGTGTATGAGGTGTGTTACGGCTGCCCCGGTATGCGAGGGGTTACAGCCGTATGAGACGTTCCCTTACCGAATGCAGAGGCAGCCACTGAGCGCTCCAAAGCACCGAACAGTAGCCGTACGGATGAGTCAGTTTCCCAAGTAACCGACCAGCAGGTATACGAATACAATATTCCCCCGAACAGCCACCATGTGAATCAAATATTCCTCCAAACAGCCGAACACGCATACTCCATATGAATAATCCCCCCAATGACGAGACACAGCTCCGTATTGAGGGTCAGCAGGAATCTGGTTTAATGAGGGCTACATGCCTGGCTTTTATGCAAGTCTCCCATCTGGTGGGCACTCCCCTAGGGGACCAAATGGGGGACTGTGACAAGGACATTGTAACAACCAGAGTACACAATTAGCCATTCCCCTTTTCTTACCCAGAACCCTCTGCTCTGCCTGGGGAGATAATTGTGAAGTAATTCAATTATCTCCCAGGACAGAGCCTAAATGCCATTTTGAGTGACAATAACAAAAATACATAAAAATACATAACTGTTACATTTTACAAAATATTACAGGCATTCAACAGGTCCCCAAATAGCTAGGATCTGAGCGCAGCAAAGTACCGAATAGCGCTCAGATCCTATGCACACAGTCCAATCGCCGTGGAGCCAAAGTGTTCACACAGTCAGTTTTCATTCGAATGGGCTCCACGGGATTCCTATCTGGGGTACAGTGTATTCCGTTGAAATCTACCGAATATAGGGTCATTCGTGCCAATCTAACAAATAAGAAGGAAGGTCGGCGGCTTCAGCAGTGTTCGTGCCAAAATGTGTCAGTTTTCAGTTCCATGGGTTAGGCGTCGAACACCGCTGTGCGTTCGCGTGTTTTAAAATGGCCGTGACCTCGTGTTCGGCATACGAATGGCGGCCACCCAACTGCTGTATCAATCAAGAGGTGTCTGCGGTTAACCTCAACGTTCAAATGGGGCCAAGAGGTTAATCAGCAGCACACTTCTCTACTGGGTGGCCGGCCGTTCGGTAGTTTTGTTCGGTCCTAAAAAAGGGAATGCCATAGAGTCCACAGGAACGAGGGAAACGAATTAAACAAACGAATGAGCCATAAGGTAAGTTCAGTCCAAGACAGAGGGATCTGTTACAAGGTGGCTATAAGTTCAACACGTTGGCTAGGAGCATATGCTGAGCACAGCCTGGCACAGCTGGGCTTAACACAGTGCTCTTGTGTTAAGCAAATATTACAAGTTTTTAGAATGAAAATTTTTATTTCTTAAACTGTGTACTTTGTCTTAAAGAGATTTTGCAAACTGGCAATTTGTTAGAAATGGAAAATATTGTTCTTCATACAATTTTTATTTAATAAATAACTTCTTATTTATTTATTTAGAGTTTAGGATGCCATTTTGTCCAAGATTAATGTAACAAGAAGTCAGGGAATTTCCCATGTCATGTGTAAAGTTTTAGTCTAAACATAGATTTCTAGGTCATGACAATAGACTGATTAAAGGACCACTATAGTGCCAGGAAAACATACTTGTTTTCCTGGCGCTATAGTGCCCTCAGGGTCCCACTCCCGCCGGGCTGAATGGAGAGGAAGGGGTTAATCCCTTACCTTTTTTCCAGCACTGGACTCCCTCGGCGCTGGGACTCTCCTCCCTCTTTTGACGTCCCTGGCTGAATGCGCATGCGCGGGAAAAGCTGCGCGCGCATTCAGCCAGTCCATAGGAAAGCATTCTCAATGCTTTCCTATGGACACTGGTGTCTTCTCACTGTGAAAATTACAGTGAGAAACACGGAAGTGCCTCTAGCGGCTGTCAATGATAACATTACCTAATTGAAAATCTGTCAAGGTAGTTTACCCCAACTCGCAAGATTTAGTCCAACAATTGACAATATAGAGCAGATACATCTTACCAGACCTTAGAATGGCCGGACTCGACGTAGAGGAGAGAAATACAGAGTCAGGAACGATCCGAGGTCAAGGGTACAAAGAGACAGCGAAAACAAGAACTAGCCAAGGTCTGGTACACAGTAATCAGTAAGCCGGTAAACAAGACAAAACAGGGATAAAGAGATAAACACAGTCAGATACAAAGCCAAGGTCAGGTACAAAAAATCACAACTGAACACAACAAGCGCTAAAGGGAACTGAAACAGAAACCACAATAGGGCAGGGAGTTAAGGGAGAGGTAAATACCCTTACATTAAATTTGATTGGCCCCGGTCATATCCACGCCCCCAAAATGTGAGTGTATGGGGAATGTGGGATGACAGGGGCCAATGGGAGACCGTTTTAATTTTCGGCTCCCACTTCCCCTTTAAGAGTGTGCCCGAGATGCGCAGCGCGCTTTTGGAGCTAGGCGGGACACGTGACCGCATCCCGCGGTCAGTGCCCACCGTCATCCAAGCCCCGAGCGAGCCGCCTGTGGCGGGAACTGAGGACCTCGGCCGGCCCCTGGATAAGGTAAGTACCGCTACAGTATCCCCCCCCCGAAGACACGCCCACCAGGCCTGACAGGAAAACGAGAATGGAAGGAACGCTCAAGGCGAGGAGCGTGAACAGCGTCAGCGGAAATCCAAGTGCGTTCCTCAGGCCCATAGCCCTTCCAATGCACCAGGTACTGGAGGCGACCCCTGAGAAAACGAGAGTCAAGCACAGCAGCTACTTCGAACTCCTCATGACCCTCCTGAGAAACAGGAGGGGGAGGAGAAACATGCCGGGTATAACGGTTACACAGGAGGGGTTTCAACAAGGAAGTGTGAAAGACGTTAGGAATACGTAGGTTCCTAGGAAGATCCAAGGCAAATGAAACAGGATTAACTTTATGTAAGATATGAAAAGGACCGATAAAACAAGGAGCCAACTTAATAGAAGGCACACAAAGGCGGATATTACGAGTGGAAAGCCAAACCCTATCCCCCATGACATAGGATGGAGCCGCCCTGCGATGCTTGTCAGCTTGACCTTTTTGGCAAGCAGCGGAGTCCACCAAAGAACGCTGAACCTGCTCCCAAGTAGTACGTAAACCAGCCAAATGTTCATCCAGAACTGGCATGCCCTGTAAGGAGAATGCAGCTGGAAGAACAACAGGATGCCGGCCATAAACAACGTAGAAAGGGCTTTTACCGGAAGATTCATGAGCAGCGTTATTACGAGCAAACTCAGCCCAAAGAAGAAGGTCAGCCCAATAGTTCTGATGGTGGGATACGAAACAACGAAGATACTGCTCTAGGGATTGGTTGGCACGTTCAGCAGCTCCATTAGACTGGGGGTGGTAAGCGGAGGAAAACGAGAGAGAAATACCCATCTCTGAACAAAAGGCTTTCCAGAATCTGGAAATAAATTGGCTACCCCTATCGGATACAATCGATACAGGAATACCATGCAACCGAAACACCTCCCTGGCGAAGATAGAAGCAAGTTACCTGGATGAGGGCAATTTGACAAGAGACACAAAATGAGCCATCTTAGAAAAACGATCCACTATCATCAGGATGACTGTTTTACCATTCGAAGGAGGCAATTCAACAATAAAATCCATGGATAGATTGGACCAAGGCCTCTCGGGTATGGGCAATGGGTGCAACAACCCACAAGGAACTCTATGAGAAGACTTCATACTGGCACAAGTAGTACATGCCTGTACGTAATCTGTGACGTCCTTGCGTAAGGAAGCCCACCAAAAATATCTAGAAACTGCTGATAAG